GTGGAGGTGGGACTACATCAAGGATCGGCCCTGAGCCCCTTCTTGTTTGCTGTGGTGATGGACAGATTGACAGATGAGGTCAGACAGGAGTCCCCATGGACTATGATGTTTGCAGATGACATTGTGATCTGTAGTGAGAGTAGGCAGCAGCTAGAAGAGAACCTAGAGAGGTGGAGGTTTGCACTAGAAAGAAGAGGAATGAAGGTCAATCGCAGCAAGACAGAGTACATGTGTGTAAACGAAACGGAGAACAGTGAAATAGTGAGGCTACAAGGAGCAGAGGTGGTGGAGGTGCAGGAGTTTAAGTACTTAGGATCAACTGTTCAGAGCAGCAGAGACTGTGGAAGAGAGGTGAAGAATCGAGTACAGGCAGGATGGAACAGCTGGAGAAAAGTGTCAGGAGTGATCTGTGACAGAAGAGTGTCAGCTAAGGTGAAGGGAAAGGTTTACAGGACGGTGGTGAGATGTATAGTTTAGAGACAGTAGCAATAGGCAGAAGACAGGAGGCGGAGCTGAAGGTGGAAGGGTTAAATATGTTAAGATAAGAGTGACAAGAATGGACAGGAAGGGGCTGGGCCACTTGCTTTTCGACACCACATCCCTTTTTTGGGGTATGTAGGTGCAATGGGTCAAGTGCTTCTTAGGAGTACTCGGTGTTATTAACCAGTCTCAAATCAATAACACAAATCAGTCTCGTTAAAGTTATCTTTAATTATTATGTTATCCTACTTATATAGTAATATTGTATTACTTAAAGTATTACAAATATACTACAATCAATAGTATTCAGATAGATTAAATATCTGAAGGATTTTCTGGAGTTCTTGGCAAATTGGGTGGCTTCAATGAATAAAGTAACAACACAGACAAACACAGTTTACAAAAATAATCAAATTTATTTATACAACACTGTCAAGTTAATGACGGTGATTGAACTTATAAACAATGATCACAACAACAAAACAAGGCTTAAGTGATGTTGCCTTAGCTACCAAGCAAGCGACTGAGCCCTTCAGGCTAGGGGTGGGCGGATCGATCCAAATATCGATATTATCGATACTAAGCAAGTACTTGGATCGGATCGATACTATTGTCCTGGGATCGATACTTCGCTCCTCCACCAATTTCCTCAAAGCGCCGCTTCTCTGCGCACCTCTCTCCCGCCCAGCGCCCCCTGCTACTCTCTGAGTCTCTGCCTGAGTGAGTGACTCAGGCACACTTTCAGCCCCTCCCCCTACCTGGCCACTGGCCTGCTGCATCCTGCCTGCCAGCCAGAGAGGGCGATGGGAGAGTGAGAGCAGCCGGAACCTAAAGCAATGGCAGAGCCAAACAAGAGTTTGGACTTTTTTTTACAACAACAGAAAAGGACAGTGCCAAGTGTGATTTGTGTAATAAAGTGGTCCGCTACTGTGGTAACACCACGAATTTACACAAACATATGAAAAAAAGCTCACCCTACAGAGAGCAACGAGCTGCAAGCAAAGAAGTTGAGGGAGGAGGAGGAGATCCCCAAGCCAGAACACCCCCGCGGACACAGAGACAATGTACTCTGGCAGAGGCTTTTCAGCCAAAAAA